ACCTAGAGATCGCCGGTAATGGCCAACCGCCGACGCAGCCGACGACGCAGGATCATCATCCTCATCATACATCGCCTCTGTGCAGCAAGTACACACATCAATCACTACTCTCCTTTTGCTCGGTAAGTATCATTATTTTGCCCGAGTATATACGGATCCGTGAGTACAGCATAATCTCGGTATAATCCAGTTGCCAATAAAGTATCTCTTTTTTTTATCTCTTCATCGCGGTATTGGTATTCAATATCGCTCGTGGAATGATTATAAACGAAGAACTCGGGCAAAAACAATCTCAAAATTGCAAATAACATAAAAAATATCTACGTACTTTATTTTTTTTTATTTGTAATTATGTAAATTAATCCATCAATCATGTAAATAAATAAAGTCATTAAAAGTAATCAATAAAAATAAAATAAAATCGTACACGCTTATAAATTAATTCTATTTAATTGAATAGGAAACATCAAAATATTTTGTAAAAATTTAACATCAATTTTGTCTGTTATTTCTATGTATTTTTTATCACTTCTATCAAAATCATATTTAATATGAGATTGTATGTGATTTGAATATTATGTAATATTATTTCTTTTAATAATTATACCAAAAAATATATTTGACATAAAAAACAATAGTAATCTCTAAGGTAACATTCCAAAACATTCTCTCTGAAGAAAATTTTCTTCAAAATATGTAGAGTTCGATCGAAACTTTTGCCGAAATATATATTATCGTATTATATCGAGTAAAATTTTCCTCGGAGAGGACATTTTAGAAAGTAGTCCTAAATGGTCATTTGATTTATTTATTAATCGCTTTGGAAATTCGCACGAATAGCTGTCTAATTTATTTATTTTTTTGAGAAAGAGGTAATTATTTTCACTTTCCCGAAAATAATTCTCTGTTAAACGACTGTCTTTTTCTCTCAGATGTCGGATGCGTCGGGGCCGAATGTCGATAAGATCCGCGACCATCATCGGTGGAGTGACTCCGAGTGCTGTCATCTCGCATACGAATTGCACAATCTGCAGCAACATCACGGATATCCGTGATAACATCCCATTTTACGATAGGAAAAAAGAACATGTGTCGCCCATAAACGACGTACATTTGAATGAACGCGCGTGTTATTTAAATTCTCTAAAAAGGAAAGAATAGAATTGGGAATATTTTTAAATCCTATTATAAATTTTCGAAAAAGCTTAGATGGGAAAAGGACAAAGAAGTCTGTTCCTTCGCGCATTTTCTTCCTCTGTTACATCTTAATTAGTAAGAGAGAGATTGAGTCTTTTTCTTTTTTAGCTATCATCTCTTTCACGGAAATACCGTGTCATTCGCGCAGCTGTCCGCGTAGTAAATTGTAATTCGTGCGAATATGTATGATAATGTACAGATAATGTTCGATATTTTAGTACTTTTAGAGATTCGTCGGAATTTCTGACAAAGTATCTCCCAATGTACCTCGGTGTTTGCAACGCGACACTTACATCTAGATTTAGAAAATGCTGAAAACTCCGCTTTTTGTGATTTCTATACATACGTATAAATAGTATAAATACAATAAATAAAAGCAGCTTGTTGAACTTTGATACGACCGTATCGTGCATTATAGAAGTTTGTTATCAGTAATCCTATTTGCAAGTATGCTGTATCGTAAACATCGTGTAAACATTAAAACACTTTTATAGATACTTATGTAATTTAAGTCTGATTTAATCTGATGTGCTCTTTGCTTCCTGTTTTTTGCTTCTTACCACTTCTTACCACTCTTACCTTTTTGCTTCTTATCTAGTTTCTTTATTTTCTATTGCCTGAGATAAACATTGACGAACTTCGGAAAAGACGAAAAACACGGTACAATAAATTTTACATGTTTAAATATGATTATCGATAGAACGGCAAAAAGGAAAAAAGATAAGAAGTAAAAGACAAGGAACAGGAAGCAAAGAACATATTGTAGATTAGGTTTTGAATGCTATAAAAGTTCTGTTTTTACGGAATAGGCCCAGGATACCACCTTCATTTCCTTCATTCATTATTTATCATAAATGTCCCATGAAAGATTATCAGTGAGAAAAAACTATTTTAAGTGTGCAACAATGTAATTGAAAATGTTATTTAACAAATCCTAGTTTTTAAGAGTAAATATGTTTAAAAATATGTATATGAGATAATAAATGTTGGCAAATTTCTTATTAAAGGAAGGATCGATAGTTGCCTAATGTGAAGAATGTTCTCAGTTTTAAGATAAAAGTGTTTTGTTCCAAAAATATATATGTTCAGTTAAATATTTTACCTCGAAGCTCTCTCACTATGTGTATGTAAATGTGTATATACTTGTATCAAGATTGACAAATATAATGTACAACTTACACAAACCGATTAATGTATAAATTATGATATATTAAAATAATTTAAGAAAGGAAATAAATATAATAAATTTTTTATTATCCAATTTATGTACAGTTTTATGGCCTAATTTCCATTTAAAAAAATCAATTAATTTCTTTTATATTCACTACGTTTAATGAATTAAAAAATAATTATTACATCTATACCTATATATATATATATATAATAAAATATAATATATAATATAAAATGTGTGTGTGTATGTGTGTGTGTGTGTGCGCGCGCGTGTGTGTGTGTGTGTGTACACATACATATTGTATATATGTAATATAATAGTAATATAATATTAATGTACTATATGCACATTTCCTGTAGCACAATATTGACTTACAAATTATCTGTACATAAGAATGTCGCAACGTTTATAACACTCCTTTGATCGGCAATGACGGAAACCAGGAAGAAGTCTCATCCTTTAATTGATCATACTTCAGCTTGTTGATAACAATACTAGTCACGATCTTTTCTACATCATGTGTTTGCCCAAAGTAATCCACAAACAAGCCCTCTGGATCTATCAAGTATATAATGATTGTATGATCCACCTAGAAAAAAAAATATAATGTCAAATTCGTTCGGGGTCATTACTAAAATACATGTACAATTATTAAATTGCTTCCAATTCATAATATACTAACAATATAATCCTCATCCTGGTCTTTAGGTCCATTACTATAGTAAACTCTGTATGCTTTGCATGCTTCTCTAACTTGTTCAATATTGCCAGTAAGACCAATGATCTTGTCAGAAAATTCTGTCAGGTACTTGTCGACAACGGTGGGCGTATCTCTCTCTGGATCTACTGATATGAAAATTGGTTGTATCTTGAAGTTGTGTTGTTTCTCTGAAAAACAGAAATCATGTATTCTATTAACCACAAATACAAGACAACGAGATATTTTTAATTATTATAATTAACTTAAATGTCTAACACTTACCAAGAGTGTTTACTACGTTTGTCATCTTTTCAATTTCATCGGGGCAAACATCTGGACAATGGGTAAATCCAAAATATATCAACACCCATTGCCCTAAGAAATCATCAGATTTCACTGTCTTTCCCTCCGTATTTATCAACTCGAATTTGCCGCCGATCTTAGCTTTGCCTAACTGCCGCCTTCTTTCTTTTGCAATAGCCTTATCTTTTTCCATTCTAAGGTGATGCACATATAATACAAGACCAGTACCAATAATACCAGAGATTGTCAAACTTTTCCATGTAATTGGCGATTTCTTTTTTATTTTTGTAGATTTTTGGGGTAAAATAGACTGTTGATTTAATACATTTGACGTGTTCATGTATCTAAACTGAATAAACAAAAAACTATTACTAAAGCCTGGAGAAAATTCCATAACAAATATGAATATATATTAAATTGATAATTCTAAATACAAAAAATTTAATTATTTAAAAAAAAACAGTAACATTAAACATAAGATCTATATACATACTGTAAATGCAAAAAGTATTCATATAGGTAGGATTTTTATAAAAAATATTTATGCTCTTAGACCCAATTTTTCACTTGTGATAAAGCTTAATCTGATGTTTCACCCAGAGAGATTTCATCTATGATCCTATCATAAATCCTATTGAATAAAACATAAGGAATGATTAGGGGTGCCTTCCATTTAACACACACAAATGTTGCTCTATCTTTCTTTACATTCCACGAGTAACAAAGACAAAATGACATTGATGTCGAGTTGTGTCATTAAACCAAATATATCCCAAATTAAGTCTAATCATAAGTTAATCAGAAAATGAAAACTAGGCCTTAGAAGCTAAATGTCTCGATTATGTAAATTATTTTTTCTACCAAATAGTACAATTTATTATTTTCACTTAACTAGTATTAAGATAATATATCTTAATTACTACATCTTTTTAGGTAAAATAATTTCGAGAAATTTAATATATATTGTATTCATTATTAATAAATTGTTAATCATAATGTTTATTTTCTACAAACTTTTTTAATAAAAATCTTTCCTGTATGTGTACTTTTTGCTTTTATTGTATGTATAAAATATTGTTATTTTAGAATATGAAACAGACTTTTCATGAAAGATTACCTTTGTAAAGACATTATAAGTACTTTTATTTAATGACGCAATAGATCTTAATATTAATGTTGACATTGTGTTGCACCTCTGGTTGCACAGTTCGAAATTTAATTTTGATCAACTTTGGTCAAAAAAAGGTTATATTACCGGATCTGCAACACACTGATAGTCTGACCACATTCAAAGTCAGAATATCAAACATAAAAACAGATGTCGCCACATTCCAGTTATAATTTTATCATCAAACACTTTATGAAATTAATTAAATGTTATTGGCTAGTTATCTACATTTATTAAATAAAGCCAATAATAACTGTACCTGTAGTTTTTTTGTTTTTAATCAATTAATAAAGACAAAATATATGATATAATACATATTAGTTTATTTGTTATCTATTTTGCTTTTGTTGAAAATAACGATAAGAGTCAAATTATAAAATACAAAACAATTTCTCACACCACATATCCTTTAAAATATAAAATCAAAATATTTATTTAATTATAATCATTTAAATACATACAATATTATTTCTCTTGTATATTTTTCTTACAATTTCATAAGTAAAAACAATCGAGTTGATTTAACTCTTACAAATGGTTCATTGACGATATTTTATTCCACATACAGTATATAAAAAAAGTCACAATTAAAAAAATATATGAACGTGCAAAATGTGACAGATTATAGATTTTTTATGATATATATTTACATATTCAATAGATACATATTCCAAACAATAATCTGAAAGATTCAAAAGATACTGATGAGAAAAAAATATGAGCACATTCATACATTGATACGCAAGTCTCATTTAACCCGAAGTCTCCTTTCTCTGCTTTTGCTGAATCATTTCTCTGATTTCATTTTCGCTCTCCTTGAAACTCCGTTGTAGATACGTTTTATTATTCTCTAGCGTCTTGATCTTCTCATCAGACGTTTTTATTCTACTATCCAAATTCTCCTTAATGTTGTTCATATTATCTAGAAGGAACATTCGACCGACAGACTCATACATTCTTGTATCCTTGGGTAAACTACTAATTTCCTTCGTAGTGAGTTCTGCCCGCTGTTTCGTACGCCGCAATTTCTCGATTTGTATATCAGCCAACTTCAATTTTTGCTTAGTATCTACCATCTTCTCGTGCAACTTTGAAAAGGCTTGCTTCAATTCTTCATCCAATACTTTCGACATCCTCAGTTATCACAATGTCTTGTGTGGATAAAATTACAAAATCCTGAAAATATTTAAGTAAAAGAAAGTTTATATTCTATCAATTTAATCTTTATATCAACAAATATACAGTTATATTACATATGGATACAAAATCAATTAATGTATATATAGACTAACATTTTATGCTTTACAGCACTGAGAAAATTATTTTTTTACTTCTAAATAAGTTAAGACAATGTCTTTCATGGATAAAATTATAGAACTGTGTTCTGAAAATATTTAAATGAAAGGAAATTCGTATTTTATCAATTGCATTTAATTTTTATGCTAACAGGTATATCAGGTATACAGATAAAAATCAATTTTTAATATATATTTAATTTGGTATGTTTTATTCAATATATAGACTAATGACTTATGTTTTATGTTCATATAGCACTGATAGAAAATTATTTTTTTACTTCAAAATAAGTCAAGATAATGTCTTTTAAATAAAATTACAAAATAATATCTTGAGTAAAACATTTTTATTTTACAGAACATTTTTATTCTATTGCATTTGATCTTTATGTTAACAGGTACATATATAATTACATGCAGACAAAAGATTAATTTTTAATGTGTAAGTTTATGCTTTATTTTTATGTAGCACTGAAAATCCTTTTTCAAAATAATCTTTTTCAAAATAAGTCAAATAAGAAATTGAACAGAATTGCGATTCCTTACCTCAAATTTCTGCGACAATGTCGAGAAATTTATTGTATTTTCTTATACAACGTTCCTAACCATATACGTCAGCAGCACGGAGGTAATACAGCTGTGAAGTGAGTCTCAATCCGATTATCGAAACTATCGAGTAATCGATAGTTTATATATATCGATACTTCTCTTCATATATCCAATCTAACCTTAATTACAATCTGATCTAACCTAACCAATAATCACAAAAATTTATAAACAAGAGAGAAGGGTTACTACAGCGAATGTCTCTAAAATCAGAGTAAAGTTTGTAATGAAATATTGATATTCATTAATATAATTGTTATATATCTGTTATTATGTCAATTAGGCAAGTTGTGATTAGGAGGAGCCATTATTTCTCGCGATACAAATAATGGCATCACCGACATCAACGTCAACATCATCGACAGCATCAACGACAACGGTAACAACAAGTCAAACGTCATGGGAGCCGCACCGAATCACGCATATCAAGCCGATCCTCGACAAATGCGAAAAGGCACTTGCGAATCGCACGGATCTGTGGCACAAGTTCATCGTCTTCGATGGTGCTGTGTATAGGCGAACTGATGTCCTGCGCGCCATTATAATCACTTGTGAACCAGCACTCTTAATACCAATCATGTACACCATCGAGGACAAGAATAAGACCACGTTCCTCGCAAAATGTGCCATTAATGCCATAGAGAATCTAGTGAAGCAGGGATTGACCATAACGTTGTCCAGCGGTCAGGATCTGTATATAGACATTATTCTGGGATTCCTCGGTGCAAACGAGCTGCGAGTGAATACAAACAAGATCATAGCAGATGCTCTGCAATGTAGATATGAGCCAATAAGAAAGATATTCAATCTGGATGACTTTGAGAACGAAAGGGCTTTAGGCTCGATATTCTGTCCCATTTCCATACCAAAGATCTTCGATCTGGTCTTGCGTTGCAGCAGGACAAGTATGAGCATTCGTGATCCTCAACAATCGAAATTGGCTGTCCGTGAGTTGAGCTTGAAATATAACAAACTCACAGCTATTATCTTATTTGACAAATTTTTCAATTTCCACTTGACCAAGTTGGACTTGAGGCATAATCAAATCTTGGATGTGGAATATCTACGTTATTTCTGTGAATTTAAGATAAGCGAACTTTGGTTGGATGGGAATCCATTGTGCGCAAAATACACTAATCCCCAGGAGTACATACAGGCCGTGAAGAATGTTTTCCCGCATTTACAAATCTTGGATGGAATTGTTATAGGAATGGAGAATAAATTTGTGCCGAGCATGCAGAGTTATTATCTAGGCAACGGAACGAAGATTCCACTGATGAGACAATTCATCAAGCATTTTTTTGCTCTATATGACCAAGATGATAGAATAGTTATGAATGGCCTGTATGATAAAAATGCATTCTATTCTGTGTCGTTAGGTAATAATATAACGAATCATATACATAAAGAGAGTGTTAAGACATTTTCCATGAATAGAAACTGGTATAAAATCTCTGATTGTGCCAAGTGTCACGAATTTCTATTTCGAGGACCTGAAAAAATAATCACTGCCTTTCAAAAGCAACCACCAACAATACATTATCTCAAAACATTTTGTATCGACTTGTTATATGAAGAAGATAATTGTTTAACCGTTTCTGTGCAAGGTTTATTTGCATATCGACTGGCAGTCTGTCCACCCATGCTGTTCAACAGAACTTTCATTATTTCACGGAAAGAAGACAATGAATATTGTATTATTAATGATTTATGTTACATTGATGGTACACCCTCTAACGCGACTAACGAAGTGAGATTTGATCCAAGAGTCGTGCCTAAATTTATTCCAACAGTACTCAGCGTGACAGAAAAGGAACAACTACTTAGATTTTTACGTGAACTTACTACAATGAATATTCGATACTGTTACAAATATCTTCAGAATGCAGAATGGAATATAAAAAACGCGATTATTACTTTTATGAAGAACTATTCAGTTAATGACGTTCCCTCAGAAGCTTTTCAATAAATATACAATTATATTAAACTTTAAGAGTATGTATGTATATATGTTGGTCACAGAAAACACAAATAAAATTTTATATTCTCATTTATATTTAAATAATTATATTATTAATATTTTATAATATAAATAATCCTTTCTTATAGCTTAAATATAAACAGGTTGGAAAGAAAGAGATAAAAGTCTTTCACTGTTCTATTTTAATTGTAAAAAAAGTCTTACAAATAATATTTACAAAACTAACAATTTCAGACGTTAACAACCTTGCTGTGTATTTAACAAAGCTATAGTCTTAGTAATATAAGGTATCGTGTTGACATTCGAATTTACTCCCAACTCGAACACCCTCTGCAGCAACGGTAAAGCGTGTTCTACAATGTAAAAAGAAAAGGTTTTAAGTTTGTAAAATTATTGTTATACTTCAACATTGAGATACGCAAATCCATTTGATTACAAAAGTTCATTCTACCTTGCATGCATAATACGATATCCGGTAATTTTTCTAAAGCTGACATAAGGACATCCGCTCTGTGACTGTCCAAGCATCTTTGAAACGCCGATAATATGTTCGCGTTCGATGTAGGACGGTATTTCAATGCTCTAGCGAGTAGACTGTGAGCGAGTGATCTGATATTACTTTGCGGTGATACAAGTAATTCCGCTATGTTGTCCGTTATAGGCTCCAAAACTGAAGGTTTTCGCAATGCCACATGCTCGATTTCTTGAAGCGCACTGAGTACATCTAAGGAGAAATAATCATTAATATAACTCTCTCATAATTAAAATATTTGATGCTTTAATTGTGATCCTTTAATGCGCTTATAAAAAAATGATAAATAAATTCTTTGTTTTATACATGTAGTGTCCAGCAAAATCTGGCTAGTCTATTCAAGGATAATTCCAGGACATTCCAGGTAAAAATCCTGGTTTTTCCAGGATTTATCCATCGATTAATTTAATTAATTTTCATCGATTCGTGTAATATTATATGCTTCGTATTCAAGTTAGGATTCCATAGAATGAATTAAAATGCTAACAAATTGGGAACAATATTATTTATAAATAATATCAAAGAAATGTTCCGACGATTTGACGAAATGTTCAAACGATTTTTTGCTTTAGATTTTATTTTAGACATTAAATTCAAGTTTCCTATTGATAACTTATTGCATCAAAGAAGGATTTATATCCACAACTTTTCTTTTTATTATTTCTTTTTTTTATGTTTTGACTTTTTTAGAATGAAAAAAATAATAAATTCCAGGCCAGACCTGAAATTTCAAAAGTTTTCTAGGAATTTTCCAGAACATAAAATTCCAGTACAATTCCAGGATCCAAGGATATTCAAGAATCGCTGGACGTGGTGTGTGCGTGTGTGTGTGTGTGTGTGTGTGTGTGTGTGTGTGTGTGTGTGTGTGTGTGTATAATTGAACAATTTTATAATCTAAATAAAGATGTTTAATAGAGTTACTTTTCGTACCTTCTCCATGCAGCTTAGCAAGTGTAGTTAGCAGCGATTGCCAATGTTGCGGAATAGTGGGTTCCGGTGGATGTAGCGCGGGAGTTACGGTGATTAAAATATCATCCATATCTTCTCCCTCTCTCGGCATCGGTATTCCTGATACGAGTGTTCTCAAAGCGGGTACGTTTGAATAATGTACCTGTAACTCACTGTATACGCATGTAAACTATATGTATATATACATACATATAAACTATACGTATATATAAACTTATTAAATGTAAATTATTTACATTAGTATACATAGAAAATAGAAATACATAAAAATAATATAAAATAATATATATAAAAATAGAAAATAACTTACTGTAAAGCATGTGCGTGTTTCTGAAGATATTTCAATGCTCGTTGTGGATCATGTGATACATAGGATTGTAATAATGACACAAATCTGTTCAGCAAAGAGACGAGATCTTTTATATGCCCATAATTCTGTAAACAAAATCGTACAATATTAAAACAGTTTGTATTTGAAGGATCTAAAATAAAGGAATAAAAAAAACATTTTAGGGTAACTAATAAAGATCTAATCATTTAATATTTTATCTTATAATGCAGTAAATTAAGTTTCTTAATTTACACTTACAATTGACAGCATTTTACAATTGTATCATTATAGAAAGTATATAAATAGTAATACCTGAAAACACTGGAAGTAATTTCCCAAAGTATTCTCCAATGCAGTCTCATGTTGCTCGTTAAACAGATGTGGCTGCAATAATTCCAATAACCCCATAACTTGATTGAAAAGATTCAAATGATGGCCGGATCTAAATGAACCGAAATCAAGATAACATCTTCCCATCAAAGAAGATGCCAACATCGGCAATTGTCGCAGTACTAATATAGGATGTACTGCGGCCATTTTTCTCGCACAGAGTTCGAATTCCTGAGACTTGGAATTCCACGATTTTTGTCTCGGGGTCGCCGCCAGAGCCGTCAACAGGGAGTGACTCATGCAGTCAAGCACCGAACCCGTCCAATCGGTAATTCTCGAACCATTGACGAACTTGCTCGCTTGGAAAGTGTCGAGGTAACAAATGACTTTCGGAATCTTCATGTACATATGCAGTAGAAACTGATGCGCCATATCTGCTGAGTCTGTACTGAAAGTTAAATACAATCATTTTATTCGAATGCATTAAAATGACGAACACTAAATTGTGCGTTGCAAAATTTATACGATTATAAAATTCGTACTCAGTATTATCCATCATACGTTCCGCTAAATAATTAACCACATTAGGAATCAGGCTGTCTTCGGTGGATATACAGTGTAAGAGTAGATCGAGTCTAATATCCATTCTCGCTAGGGCGGCATTTCTGTTCTGCATTTTACAGATAATAACGCCTTCAGACACTATATATGCCACTAAATTAAGTAGCTGTCGTTCTTCCAACAATAGAATATTCTCAGGAACATAATGCTTCGGAGTAAACTTGTCTCGGCCCTGCCACAGCTTAGGATTGCATGTCAGAGCCCATAAAAAGTCCAGAACTGCTGTAGAATCGTATCTATAAACACATTAATATTCATAAATATAAATATAAAGAATATATTGATAGTTAAAGAATTTAGAAAAATTGTTATTTGTTCATAACAGAGAATATCATGAACAATAAGAGCAAGAAGATTGATAGATTGAAAAAGTGTTTATTCGCTCTGCTCACCCGTCATCACATTTGTCTAACAAGTGTCCGACACATTTATACAAAGTGGTCCAACTTGCTGTATGCGTCAAGAGCGTCAACAAGTAAGGTCTGCAAGAATGAGAGCTCACGACGTTCTTGTCGATGTTGATATGCATCTTCGCCTTACCGAACAGTAGCTTCATTTGGAGATTCGGGCAAATACCGATCAACTCTGGCTCCACGGAGGCCAGCCAATCGATCAGTAAACCCATACGAGGTTTCAGTGCGTCTTCGTTACTATCGCTGACCAATAATCTTGCCATAGCCTCGACCAGATCGTCATTCTTCTGCTGCTTTAAACAGACATCCAATAGTTTACGGCCCACACCCTCCAGATTCACGGGATCCGTATTCTCCAGTATCGAGCCTGGACTCTCGCCGTGGCTCATCAGCATCGACAGTTCCGCGCGTTGAGGCGTTTTCGTCAACTGCACGTTAGCGAAATCTCGCAAAATCGACAGAACTGGAGCTTTTACATCGCCTATCAGCGATATCAAATTTAAACACATATTACGTGCTAATTCAATCACGTGTTTCGATGTCGATCTCTTAAGCGGTAACAGTATCACGCGCATTAGCGTGCAAGAGTACTGCGGCATGTGCACAAGTGAGGCCAGAAACTGCTTGACCTGCATAGAGCTGAGAACGCTACATATCTTTACACTTGATCTCTGCAGATCCTTCGCCAGAGTCTTGTGCAAACGTCGATAAGCATCCATTTTCTGATTCATTGGAATATTTTCGATGAAGAGTCTGTTTATCAAGTGGGGCACGTCGGTCTTCACGGAGCATTGTATGACGGACTGCTTTTGCACTGTGGCACTAACCGGCAACGGTTGCTGCAAACTCTCGATTGACACAACACTCTCATCCGGTAATTGCGGTTCCAGTAATTGCAATACCTGAACGAACACCAGTCCACCTGTAGCACCTCTTCGATGTTGCACCTCAACTAGTTGTGCCATATACGTTTTGTCTAAAACCGCCTCGCCAACGGAGCTAGGATCAATCTGAACACCTGCGTCGAGCGTATGAAGCAGTTTGCTCATGGACGACACAGGTATTCCAAAACTTTGAATAAAAAGTACTAACTGTTGAGGCTCAAGATCCTTTAAGGCTGCGTCGACTAATCGAGGCACGTTACTTCTAATCATACGCAATTTAAGCCAATCAGGTATAAGCAACGCTTCTTCACTAGTATCCACGAGAAATGCTTTCGGTTGTTCTGTTAAAGGAAACCATGTTTCCAACAAATTATTAAACAATGGATCGTCTTCGGATGTATCGTATGTCAATAATATAATCATAGCGTGCACTACTAGAATGTGCATAGTGCATTCTTCACCATTACTCCACTGAACTAGAATTTGATCTTGACTTTCAGACCATTGGTAATCTTCTCCTCTAGGTGATCGCGCTTTCTCAAGATAATTACAAAAAATTGCCATGAAGGAATGCAATGTTTGTTTGGTTTGTGGATTATCACTTTCAGATTGAGGCAGGATAGCCGCAATAATGGTACTACGTTCAACGACCAATTGAGAAATCTCGTTGGCTAAATCAGTCAAGTCAGGTAAGTCATCATCGACAGTATGCACGGCTAGATACGATATGTAAGTGTGCACAAGATCTGGACTGTTCTCAACCTGACAAGCACCACGTAGTGCCGTAGAAACCAGCGAACGTACCGATAAGAAGTGAGGTATCGACGGTAATTTTCGTAGAAGCCAAGTCTCTCTGAAAAAAATATTAAAGTGTAACAGTTCCTTTTCCTGAAATACATTTAAAACACATACTTTTCATTTTCTCCATCCACATCCATACTCTCATCCTCAAGGGGTATCGAGTCTAGAACTATCTTGAGTCCAGTGATTGCTTGGACCCGGCTACCGCTCTGCTGACTACTCAATCTCCTCAAGAAATATTCCAAAACCTCATAAGCATGCTGCTGATCCTGATTCGGATCAGTTAATAGTGTCTGAAGGTGAGCCAACAACTGCTGCTGTCTGGGCTGTTTTTCAACTGTCTGCGGGCTAGTTGATAATAAGTATTCACAAAGGCATTGCACTGGTAATTGGCTTAGAGAACCTTCGCTGTTCTGTACAAGATCTGCCAACCAGGGCATGCTCTGAGACGTGCTTTGTTGTTGTCTCTGAATGATATCCAACAAGAAGTCCGGTTTACGTGACCGACAAAGCAGATGACCTAGTCTGTGAGATGTATTTAATGACTGTATTTGTTCGAGCACGGCCGGTGGTGGTCTTCTAGCAATTCCCATTGTATCCATGGTGATTAACTGCGACAGCAGGAAACTATTCTGTTCTGATAATTGAATTCTGGTCGATGCTGCGGCCAAATGCGATTCATATTCTAATATCTCTTGTTTCTCGATAGCTTCAACTTGCATTTCTTTCGCACGTTCTTGTTCCATGACCTCCGGCAGAGCCATAGTCGGCGGTGGATATGAGAAATGACTACAAGATGTTTTGGAAACACGGAGTTAGTTATATGATCAAAGTATTTAGTTACATGATCAAAGTATTAAAGCAACAAGCTTTAATAGTTGTTAAACTCACTTTGTAATACACATTTCCATCAGTGTCCTCAATATAGGGTATCGTCGCCATCCTAGTGCTCCAATTGTGGATGGATTATGAGCGGCCAAAATTAATAACATTATCCATCCTTTCCAATAAAGATTAGCTATTGCCAACGTTGGTGGTACATATCTATAAGACAAACACAGTTGCAACTGTAAAGATAATATTGAGGATAAAATATATTAGGTGTTGGAATTAATTCGTAGCGTTTTACAAGTGATGAGAAGTACTTTCATTAATGTATTTTTTAATGCTCATGTGAAATAAATAACATTCTTTCATTAAAAAACGCTACGAATTAATTCCAACACCTAATACATGCAGAGACTTACCCAGCAGGTATATTTATGGTTCCCGGTGGCTGATAAATACTAAGATTAAAAATAAGTTCAATTATGTCCATTTTATCGATTTGTAACATCGGGAAACTCTCCGTCGAATTGGCCGCTGCTCGCCGTATTAATAAATCGGCTAAATCTAAAGTCTCCGAATGAGTAATGCCGTTTTCCTATAAATAAAAATAGAATAAAAAAACCATTTCTAAACAGAATCATCTTGCAGGTACTAGTTTAAGCATTTACTTTCGAAAAGCCAATCATTAGCAATCTCCACAATGTGCTTTGCAACAAGGGAACATCAGAAACCAATCGTATATAAAATACTCTGTCCGACTCTGGTGGCCAATTGTCCAGTTTATAGTATTGTTCAGGAGATTCTAAGAGCATGATCTTATGCATCGCGTGCAACAATTCATTTCGTCCAACGGTGTACATCTGCTGTGCTGAATTCTGCAGCCACAGCACAGTTTCGTATTGTATCATGGCCACGAGATCTTGAAATTGATGCAGCAAAGCCGCATCTTTCTTATCTGCACGTTGCGATAATGTCCCTGCTTCCTTTACTTGCGGACTTATTCCTAAGAGCATGCACAGACACAGTAGATCCACTATTGACATAAACATGCGATCCTTAAATTCAAAATTCAACAACTGTTGAGCTATGTCCGGTCGTTCAGACATTAAAGTTCGAACGAAGACGATTAGATTGATGTCGTGTCGACATACACGTATGATTTCCCTAAGCAATGCACGCAATGGCCTCAAGTAATCCTCGCGATTCATCAATAAATCTTGAAAGATCTCTGCAAGCAACTTTGCCGCTTGTTCGGGCAAAGTCTGAAACATTATACCCAACATGGGCATATTGTTTGGATTGCGTGCATTCGATAATTCATTGTAGATTGTATGCTTCAGGATGGTAGCTAAATTCTCTGGATGTAATCCGATCAATTCCTTGACGCCATTCAAGTATAGGTTTATCACAGCCTTCGTCTTTAATCTCATCTTAACCAATTGACTTATAACCTCCACGTCTCTTTGAGTATGAGATGTACAATTGTAGCAAATGTAAATAAGCAATTCTTGCGCGGGTCTCATCAACTTAGGATTGTGCAGCCATACTTCTAGCCTTGGGACAGCGATATTTCTGATCTCAACAAAACCACACGCTGAAGAAAGCAACTTCAAGAAATTTCTCGTAATAGTCTCAGCTTGACGTCTATTTAGTTGTTCCTTTACAGCTTCCAGTACTATTGATTCTATATTTTCCACGCAATGCGCATACCGCGGACTTACTGGAAATTCTATTTTCTCTTTATCTCCAGATAATGATGTCATTGATGCTGCTGGATCCTCATCATCCACTGTAGATGGGCTGGGACAATCCCTTTGCATTAATACCGGAAATTCTGGCTGCAATACAGACTTAGGTGGGTGCCTCGTGTTAAAACCTGTTAGTATGTTGTCAACAAAACCTTTGCATTCCTCATGATCAACCCATACACGTTCTCCAAGAGCATCTTCGACATATAGCTGTAGAAACAATTTTAAAAAATCAATTAAAATATCAAAATTATAAGCAATACAAAAGATTGTAAATAAATAACCTTCACAAATACTTCCGGCCAGTTCTTTTTGTCGTGAAAACCTTTCATCAAGAGATTTGCAGCTAGTACAGGAACTAGTGGACTCACTTTAGTCTTATAGCTATTTTGATTATTTGAATCCCTTCTTAAAAGAGACGATAATGCATGCAGTATGCAATCGTTTGAGAAAATAGATGGGCGGATTTTTGCTAAATATAACAAACCCATATAAAGTAAATTATCAGGCTTCCATCTCAGATTCTTTAGCGTCTTAATAGCGCCACATATTATCCCAATAACTCTATCGCCTTCGTCATTGTCATTAGCCTCAAGTGCCATAGGCACAAAGTCTGCAGGATCAGTATCTATAACTAAAACCTCCCATGCTTCCGCGCTGGAGGAAGGTTGCCGTTGATGGGAGCTGACATGGGTTAACTTAGGCTTCTTCTGTGGAACGTACATAAACGATGATCCAGAAGGAGCCTCTTTCTTTCGGTCATTACCTACATAATGATTTGTATAAACAATAATTTGCAACTGTGAGAGTATCACAAGAAAGAAAGAAGTTATTTACCAGAAGATGTAGAACTGCCACTAGGTTTGGAATGAATAACACCTGGTCTGCTTTTAGAATCAGAGTTATCATTCCGTGAACTCTTTGATCCCAGTGCAAATAAATCGGAAGGATGTTGAGCAATCTTATTTTTTACTGCTCTACCAAGCCCAGTCTTTCCACGCTCCATGATTAATATTTGTTCTATCTAGAATATAAAAAGGTGTACAAAATACTAAATAGGAATGGTTAAGATATTTTAATAAATAAATTTATTATAAATATAATGATACAAAATATAATAAAAAGTAACGTTCAGAATTTAAGTATCGATTAAGAAATACTTAAGTCATAATTTACTGACAATATATACAAAACTAGAAGTTAAATGTTCTAACCTAAAATGTCAATGTCCAGAAATTATTTTCACGAAATAAATCCCGTCAATATCATCGGCAATAAAAATGCATTCATATGCTGATATACATATCGTCTTCCTAGATAGAAGAATGAAATATTTATCATGTGTCTAAATGGTCTAAATTAAGCAACTACAATTCCACACGTATCAATACTGCACTGACATACCACCCGGATCATCGTGATCAATTGACATAATCAACATAACCACATTAATCTCTCTAAGAATCTGTTTTGTGCTATTACATTTCCTGCACTTGAAAAGAAATAGATATATTGTATTATTGTATTAAATGTTGAGACGAGAAAGAGGAAAAATGCAAAAAGTTCAGAATGAATCTAGAGTTGCACTCAACTAGTGCAACACTTGTATGTACACACTGAGCAAATGCAAATCAATTCACATATTTTCACATTTTTCTTGTTTAACTTTTTTAATTATATATTTGTTGTCACCAAAGAAGTTGTGTGCACAATAATCTTATAACTTGTCATAACCTTAACCTTTAGTTTTTGAGGTTTTTGGCATTCTTACTACACGAATTCGGTCGTTCTGAATCAATTTTCATCACTTTTACAAGTATATATAAATTATTATAAATGATTTTTACGTATATTTTGACATCTTTAGAAAGTATTTGTACAGTTATATATTCATAATAAATTGTAGATAAATTGTTATAACTAAGTAAAGTTAACAAAATGAGAAAAATACACTGTTTCATATAAAAATGTAAACAAAAATGTTTAAAGGAAAAATATAGTTCAATATACTAAAATTGATATTCCAAACTACAAAAAAAAAAGTTTAAGTCGGCTGTCCAAAAAGTTTAGTTATTGAGTAACCTGAAAATAATGTTTTTTTAATACGCACGAACTATACATTATTTGTAGAGAAGATATATTGCATTTACATTTTAAACAATACATTTTATTACTGCTATTGTGTTAAAAAAAATTTATAATTTATTAGGAAAATGTTCTTTATAACATTACAGATAATATAATATATAATATTACTGATATTTACACAAGGCCAAAAATCATGTTTATTAAAGGCTAATGTTGTTCTTGACGAAGTAGTAAAAGTAGGCGCTTGTTCTTAATCGACGAGATATGAACGCCGCATTCCCGGGACATGGAAATTGTTCGACACAACGCCTGTTGCAATAAACTGCACTAAAACTTTCTATCTCGCTTTCGTCAAACTTAAAAATACTTACTTATTTCATTTTAAGTACAAGTGTACACTAGTTACTTTAACCAGAAAAAATAGATCTAAAGAGACTAAAGAAAGCAAGAGTAATTCTGCATGTTTGTCTTGATGACTGGACGCCTGTCACGACTTCGCTCTCTATTCAGAGTACTAATCATGTAACTTTTCTCCTGAAAGAAACATAAAAAGTTTTCTCCATTAACTTCGATAATAAAATTTTTCACTTTTTCCTGTAGAGAAATATTTTTATGTCTGTTAAAATAAAATATACTGCAAAATTATTGCAATGTTTAGAGAAATATTACAGATATATTGTTACAATATTTTAATAATTAATCCAATTTATTGTTAAAATATTGTACTGATTAGCACAATCCAAAATACTTTGCAATTGTTTAAAATTCTTTGACGTGATTGGTCTTATCTTTAGTTCCTTACTTGAATGTTCTTTACTAAATATATAACTATAAAACTATAATCATATTAAAGAATACAACAGTTGCAATTAAGCTGTTTTTTCTGCTGAACGCAGTCATTAAAACAATACAATATAGTTCACAATATTGTTGCAATATTTCCAATAAAATATTAAAATTTTAATATAACAGCGATATTGCTGCAATTTTTGTAATACAATATTGCACTATTAAAATATTGCTGCAATATATATTTCGTGCTGCAGGAGAAGTTACGCTCGTTGGACAATTGCATAAACGTAGTTGTAAGAGCTATGGCACTCAAAAAAACATAATTAGTAAGTGAATTGTCCAATCACAGTAGAGATCGTAAGGCCATAACGTAACACTAATCAATCCAACATGTTGATTTCTTCCGACGTGCATCGCCGACGCCTGCATCAAAAAACAGAATTTCGTATCATATTATTGGGTCATCTAAAAAGTATCCGCGATACTTTGTCACTAGATATATGACCATCAACACACATCTAGTGACAAAAAACCGCGGATACTTTTTAGATGACCCATATATTGTATATTGATACAATATAAAATTCTGCTTTTCGATTGGTTGCAGAACGTCATGTAATGATCAATCGGAAGAAAGAATTTTACTAACTTTGATTGACCAATCCAAAAATGCTTCGAAACATTTGCAGCGTAAAGTGGATCGCCCATTGTGTATTCTTTTAGATCATCTAATCGGCATTTTAGATCTAGAAGAATACATCAATAGCAGCGAGTGCTCATTCAACTGTTGAGTTCGCTGAATACAGCCATTGAATAAGTTCAAGAACGGTAAAGCGGCTAGGCATGCTTGCTGAGCGAATGAACATGATTGGTTCTTATCAAGTAGATCCAACCAATCATGTTTAATTGCTCGATGAGCAGACCTAGCCACTTTGTCGACTTGAACGCGCCCATTGTGTTTCCGACTTTACGTTAACAGAAGGAGGGCGCCATCTTCTCTCGCCGTCCTCTTTCATTTTTCCTTTCGTGGACGACGTTAGGGATGTCGCGGAGTGGAGAAGTGAAACTCGTATCCTAACCTTCCAATCGTGGACGACGTTGTTGGAAAAATCCTGACAAGATGGGTCGTATGCACTCACATGGGTAACATAACAATATTTATTATATCATCGATGTAATCTCTTTAATTTTCTGTTCGCTGCGACGCTCGTGATTTACCAAGATTCTCGACGTCGACATGATATAAGAATGTTATCTTGTCGAGATGTGTTCTGTCGAGGTGCACATCCAATGACCATGTGTTTGTAACTCCGTTCTTTTCATTCAATCAATTACCCTCTCAGCTTTATAATTTATAATTTACAGTTGTTGAGCAATTTAATGATTCAGCTTTTTTGTATGCCATGTCTCTTGATAAACCAAGCACATAGCTTTTACGAGAATACATAACCTATCACGTGTACGCATGACCGCGATCTTATTATGACGTTATTTCTCCTGTAGCTGCAATGTCAGTGAAACATTTGTAAAGTACCAGTATTTAATCAAGTTACTGATGCAATGTTATTTTTTTTTGTTAATTTTTAACAGTATAGTAGAAACATGTTAAATAATAAATAACTTAATCTTTTATATCTAATATAAGAAAAAGAGGGCAAAGACAAAGGGTATCATAAAATATTGGATTTAATATATCCAATATATTAAAAATAAACCATAATGCTTATTTTTAATGTATTGGTTATTTTAAATTTTATTTAATATTTTATAACTCTTACATTATTATATTGGTCAATAACTGGTCATTATTTAGCTTTTAACTTTTTATTACCGTTATTCGTTTTTTTATACAATATATAGTTTTAATATTTTTATACAATACTTCTGAAAAATTACTTCCTAAATATTCTTGTGAAATGTACTTAAAAAATTTTAAAGTAAATTTATTTTTTATAAATTAATTATATATTTTTTTAAATTTCATTATATATATATATATATTTTTTTTAGAAAAGGTATATCTCAGTCGGCGCTTCCTTATCGACGAAGTGTACCAACTTGGTTGAAATTAACACCAGAAGATTGTAAAGAACTTATCTACAAACTAGCAAAAAAAGGACATACACCATCTCAAATTGGTAATTTTGATATGCATTTATTTTTCTGCTAATAAAAGCTTTACTAGCTGCTAATTGAAAGGAATCAACATATTTGAAAGCAAACTCTATGCAGGGAATCTTAGAGTTTTTAATTTGATTCTCTCAAATATGTTTGCAAGATTATAAGTGATGTTTGATGTGAATCTGATCATTTGTCATTTCACAATAGGTCATCACTGATACTTTTGTAAAATAACAAGTTTGATAATTATCAAAATGGCAAAAAGAACTGTGTATAAGACAACATACTTTGTATTTTTATAGGTGTCATACTTCGTGATTCACATGGAGTAGCACAAGTACGATTCCGTACAGGAAATAAGATTCTGCGCATTGTAAAGAGCATGGGTCTGGCTCCTGATCTACCAGAGGATCTCTACTACCTGATCAAAAAGGCCGTCGCTGTGCGTAAACACTTGGAGCGAAATCGAAAAGATAAAGATTCGAAATTCCGTTTAATTCTCGTCGAGTCGAGAATTCACAGGTTGGCGCGTTACTATAAGGCGAAAGGATCTCTGCCGCCAAACTGGAAATATGAAAGTTCAACGGCCAGTGCTCTTGTAGCTTGATTTTATATTTACATATACTTTAATAAAATTCAAAGACATCAATTTTTTTAATTAATACTGCCACTACGATTTACGTACTTATTAATTATATACACACGCAATATATGTACACATACACGCACACACACAGTGTCTGTTTGATAATAATGTAATATTTTGTCAGTTAAACTAAACTGGATAGAATAGTCCTCTATCTTTTCGTGATTCATTAAATATTAATTTAGAAGTTATAATTTAGAAATTCATTAAAAATTCACAAATGAGCAAAAATAATTTAAAATAATCCTTCATTAATATAATGGTCTTACAAACGGTCTTATTAAATGATCTTATTAAATGGTCTTACATACGAATTAGACAAAATTAACAGAAATTTTGCTAAGCCAAGTATTTTTCGGATTCTTGAGATTGATTTTATATTTAATACTTTCTTTCTATATGCATAATAGGTCAATTTAAAATTCTTTTTTTATTTATTCCGATTTGAACGGAATGATAAAAATGTAAAAGTCCGTGCTACGCACGGACTAAGAACATAGAATTTTTAATTAATATTCATCCGATACCACCAGATATTCCACTTGACGAAGTAGCAAAAGTAGGTGCTTATTTTTAATCGACGAGAACACCATACGGTGTGACATGAACGCCATACGGTGTCCTCCGCATTCCAGATCCCGGGATATGGAAATTGTTCGACACAACGCCTGTGTTGTTTGTCGCTGCAATAAACTGCACTAAAACTTTCTATCTCGCTTTCGCCAAACTTAAAAATACATACTTATTTCATTTTAAGTACAAGTGTACACTAGTTAGTTTAACCAGAAAAAATAGATCTAATGCAATTTTGACATATGTCACTATTTCTTTCTCTTCGCCGTCATTGTTAAGTTCTTTAATTCTCACTTCTCGAAATAAATTACGGCCCGCGCGCCATGTGCTCGGTGGGCCTTACCTTTGACAATAGTGAATTGAGCGGACGCGCGTATTCGGCTATCTTTAAACGTTAATATCTCGTTAATTATTGCGAGCATTACAAAATGGTAGAGGATTTTTCTACTCAATTTAGTCCACTCTACCTGCTCGGGACGAGTAGGGCCGTATATTCATGACACCTTGTATATCAAAGAACATTTCATATATAAACTCAATTATGTGAAAATGTTACATAAAAAAATTAAAGTTTTTTTTAAATAAATTAGTTTCAACTTGTTTTTATATCTTGTAATTTAAGTTGCAATTTTTTAAAACTACTATACGTATATTTAATTTAAAAATCTCAAGTATATTATGGAAATAAGTTACATAAAAAAAATTACATCAAATCTGAAATTAATGTTTATTTATTTAAAACAATATTTTATATGAAAAAAATTGTCAATTAAATTGTAATCCATAAATAGTATATTGTTACAACACATAACTCGTTTTTAGATATTTTTAAGTATAAATAAGTTATTACCGATCGTCTAGTCAAGCTGCTTTCAGTACACCCCATTAAAAAACGCTTCAAAGCATTTGTAACATCGTGTTGACCGTACCCAAAAATTTGCAATATGATTAATTTATATGTTTAAATCTATAATAAATCAAAAGCAAGAATTAATTGTATTAAAGAATTTTACAACAGTTTTACAAAAGAGCTTTTTCTGCTGAACGCAGCCAATGGATGCAATCGGTATTATTTGCTCACTGAGCGCTTAGTGAACGAACGCAGCCATTGGTGTATTCTTCTAGATCATCCAATTAGTATTTTAGATCTGGAAGAATACATCAATAGCAGCGAACGCTGATTCAATAGTTAAGTTTACTGAACGCAGCCATTGAGCGAGTTCAAGAACGGTAAAGCGGCTAGGCATGCTTGCTGAGCGAATGAGCATGATTGGTTCTTATCAAGTAGATCCAACCAATCATGTTTAATTGCTTGATGAGCAGACCTAGCCACTTTGTCGACTTGAACGAGCCCATTGTGTTCCGACTTTACGTTAACAGAAGGAGGGCGCCATCTTCTCTCGCCGTCCTCTTTCATTTTTCCTTTCGTGGACGACGTTAGGGATGTCGCGGAGTGGAGAAGTGAAACTCGTACCCTAACCTTCCAATCGTGAACGACGTTGTTGGAAAAATCCTGACAAGATGGGTCGTATGCACTCACATGGGTAACATAACAATATTTATTATATCATCGATGTAATCTCTTTAATTTTCTGTTTACCGCGATTTACCAAGATCCTAGGCGTCGACATGATATAAGAATATATCTTCGACATTCTGTGTGTGCACATCCAGTGACCATGTGTTTGTGACTTCGTTCTTTTCATTCGAACGATCAATTATCCTATCAGCTTTATAATTTATAATTTACAGTTGTTGAGCGATCTAATGATTCGGTTTTTTTGTATGTATCTTGATAAACCAAGCACGCTGCTTTTATGAATACATAACTTATTGGGTCATCTAAAAAGTATCCGGTTTTTTGTCACTAGGTGTGTGTTGATGGTCATATATCTAGTGACAAAGTACCGCGGATACTTTTTAGATGACCCAAATATGTATCACGTGTATGCACGGTATAACTGCGATCATATTATGATGTTATTTCTCTTGTAATTGCAATGTCAATAAAACATTTATCAAGCACAAGTATTTAATCAAGTTACTGACATATAATGTTAATTTTTTTGTTAATCTTTAACAGTACATGTTTAATAATAAAGAACTTAATCTTTTATATCTAATATAAGAAAGAATCAAAGACAGACAAAGACAAAAGGTATTATTGAAAGTATTGGATTTAATATATCCAATATATTAAAAATAAGCCATAATGCTTATTTTTAATGTATTGGTTATATTAAATTTTATCTAATATTTTATAATTCTTACATTATTATATATCAATAACTGGTCATTATTTAACTTTTAACTTTTTATTACTGTTATGCATTTTTTTATATAATATATAGTTTTAGTATTTTCATACAATACTTCTGAAAAATTACTTCCTAAATATTCTTGAGAAATGTACTTAAAAAATTTTAAAGTATGATTTATTTTTTATAAATTAATTATGTATATTTTTAAATTTCACTATATATATTTTTTTTTTAGAAAAGGTATATCTCAGTCGGCGCTTCCTTACCGACGAAGTGTACCAACTTGGTTGAAATTAACACCAGAAGATTGCAAAGAACTTATCTACAAACTAGCAAAAAAAGGACATACACCATCTCAAATTGGTAATTTTGATATGCATTTATTTTTCTGCTAATAAAAGCTTTACTAGCTGCTAATTGAAAGGAATCAACATATTTGAAAGCAAACTCTATGCAGGGAATCTTAGAGTTTTTAATTTGATTCTCTCAAATATGTTTGCAAGATTATAAGTGATGTTTGATGTGAATCTGATCATTTGTCATTTCACAATAGGTCATCACTGATACTTTTGTAAAATAACAAGTTTGATAATTATCAAAATGGCAAAAAGAACTGTGTATAAGACAACATACTTTGTATTTTTATAGGTGTCATACTTCGTGATTCACATGGAGTAGCACAAGTACGATTCCGTACAGGAAATAAGATTCTGCGCATTGTAAAGAGCATGGGTCTGGCTCCTGATCTACCAGAGGATCTCTACTACCTGATCAAAAAGGCCGTCGCTGTGCGTAAACACTTGGAGCGAAATCGAAAAGATAAAGATTCGAAATTCCGTTTAATTCTCGTCGAGTCGAGAATTCACAGGTTGGCGCGTTACTATAAGGCGAAAGGATCTCTGCCGCCAAACTGGAAATACGAAAGTTCAACGGCCAGTGCTCTTGTAGCTTGATTTTGTTTGTTTGAAAAAAAAAGTAAATTGAGATCTTCGAAGTTTATTAAAGCATAATATGTAAATATTATGCTTTAATAAACTCGGAAGACATCAAATTACTTTTTGTTTTTATTAATATTGCCAATACACTACGAATTATGTTATATACACGTGATGTATATGTACACATATACACGCACGTACATACAGCCTGTTTGAATAAATGTAAATACTTTTTCAGTTAAACTAAATTGGATAGTATAGTCCTCTCCTTCTCCTCCTCCTCCGTCCATAATCCTCTGAAAGGATATGATGACACTTCTATTATATGCCTGTGGTGCGCACGCTGATTGTACAGTCATAAGGGACCTAGTTTAACGTCAATTCCGAATGACGATTTTGTTTATAAAAGTGTACATGGCAAGGATACTCTCGGTGGTTTGCCATTGCCTGTTGGGAGGAACTACGAGCATACGAAAATTTTTTGGTTCTGCCTAGAGTCGAATCCAGGAACTCTGGCATAACAGTCTCGTACGCTGCCACGCTTGTGCTTCTGAGTATATAGTTCTTTCTACTTTTTTTCGTAATTCATTAAATATTAATTTAGAAATTGTAATTTAGAAATTCATTAAAAATCCGCAAATGAGCAAAAATAATTCAAAATAACTTTCATTAACAAATTAATAAATAGTATCCAGATCAACAGTTAAACGAGCTATAATTAGATTTTGTGTGTGTGTGTGTGTGTGTGTGTGTGTGTGTGTGACAAAACAAATTTCATTATTTCACAATATAAATTTCCACTGATACGTTTCGACTATACTTAGTCCTCATCAGTCGCAGCAATATAATTATCTCATATAACAAAAATTAAATTAACATATTTTAAGGATCATCTTAACTTCGATTTTCAGTAGTCAGTATAAACGCAACTATATTATATTTAAACTTCTCTAGATATCAAACTTTTTGTAGGAATAGAAAAGAGATAAACTTAATATTTAAATCTGGACCAGGTACTCTTCATATTTTAAAGAAAAAAAATTTTAATAATTGTAATAATTATAAATTTCAAAAAATTGGTGTAGATTATAATTTAGAAACTATAAATAAATTCTCACGCAGGATAATTAATACATGGGACAAAATTAAGATTTCTGTCTAGTGGGAGATTTCAAACGCAACACAGAGGGCGACCTGGAAGAGTAACAGAGTAACAACTCGCTCTTTCTCTCGCGCATGACCGTGGTCAACTTTGCCGCATCAATATCAAAGGTGCAGAGTGGTGCGGATTGTGGACACGTTTGCGCTACTGTGTCGTAGTTCGTAGTGCAACCAAAATCTGTTGATTTCTCGTCATAAGATATGTCGAAGATGGTGAGTACCATGCAGATCGTGAAAACCAAGCGCGGATTTTGTCGCCATCGCAAATGGGCGATGCCACCGGGAGTTGTCGGTTTCGCGGATAAGAGCGCGTGCGAGGAGCCTCTGTACAATCTGCTCCGCTCTATCGTCCCTCCCCCTTTGAATCGAAGCCACATCAATAACTCCCCTTCATCATGCTTGTTGTCTTGCATAAAATATAAGGTAACGTAATCTTGTATGCTTCAGCGGATGAAAGCAGTGAGGTGTCCCACGGATGAGCTCAGCCTCTCCAACTGTGCCATTATCAACGCCGACGATTTTCCTGATGATGTCAGGTAAGAATTCATGATTCAACACTCGTTTCATAATTGTTTTACGTATGATTGTCTCTAAAATCGATTGAGAAATTAAATATTTATATTTTACTTAGTTCATAAATTAATGCATATTTATATTACATATATATGTTCACCTGTGTCTTAAAATTAATCCTAGGTGAAATATAAAAATAAGCTGAGTTTAGAAAAATGATTGATTATACAAAAGAATGTATTTTAAAGAATATTTTTATTGTAAATTTATATCATGTAATTTATTAATTTGAGGAATTTATTATATAATATTCATACAATTATAATTATTTTATAAATATCCATATAATTGTTAGTGTCAGTTATAGAAATTTAAGTTAGGTTAGTTTATAAATTATACATATTCAAGCAATGTAAAATAATCTGGCTACATTTACACCGTGGCCTACAATAGATGTCCTGTAAGTTAAACAAAAACATCTATCGTATAGATTGTGGAATAGGCGCATGTTGTAAATGTAGTCAGTGATGAAGACAATAAATTATTTATCTCATTTATTTATCTTATAAAATATACATATATTTTAAAATAAAAACTCTAAAACATTTTATAGTTTTATTAATTTATATAAACTCAATTGCACAAATTAATATTTATATAAATTTGTTTTATTTTAAAATTTCTCAAAAATTTACAAGAGTTCTTTTATAGACTATACAGAGTCATGTATATTTTTAAATCATGATGCAATAAGTATACTGATTGATATGTTTATTTTATTGTCTGTTACAGGCATATTGAAGTAACTACAGCACCAAATTATCATTTCGTATTTACTGTGAGAACACATCATGAGATTCCACGTGGCACAGTTGGCTTTAGCTTACCTCAACGAAAATGGGCAACATTGTCTCTCAATCAAGAGATTGAAGTTCGGCCATATCATTTTGATCCAACATCTAACACAGAATGTTTATGCAACATCGTTTTGGAAGCTGATTTCCTGCAGAAAAAAACGTATGTTAATTGGAAAAGCTATATACACATATGACAAAAAACTAAAATATTTATATGGTAATTTATAAAATATTTTATAAAATATTTTGTAATTAAATGAACATAATTTATACACAAATGCAAAGAATTTGAATTTGAATACCATAGTCTTCCATCAACTTTTTTTTAATTGTTATATTAATATATTGTTACTCCAGTGTCACTTTGGAACCATACAATACGGATGAAATGGCTAAGGACTTCTTGATGCAGTTTTCCGGGCAGGCATTCACCGTGGGTCAGCAGCTGGCATTTCAGTTTAAGGATAAGAAACTGCTTGGATTAGTTATCAAAAGTTTGGAAGCTGCCGACTTGTCAGCCATCAGTTCGGGGCAAAGTACGATGCCTAAGAAGACAAAAATGGGACGTTGCTTGGGTGACACTATAATCCAGTTCGAGAAAGCAGAGACCTCCAGTTTGAACCTTGTTGGACAGTCTAAAGGGAAAGCTGTCCGACAGGCGATTATCAATCCAGATTGGGACTTTCAGAAAATGGGTATTGGTGGCTTGGATAAAGAGTTTAGCGCCATTTTTCGAAGAGCCTTTGCATCCCGTGTTTTCCCAACGGAGATTGTCACTCAATTGGGTTGCAAGCATGTAAAAGGAATCTTGTTGTATGGACCACCTGGTACAGGAAAGACGTTAATGGCTCGGCAAATAGGTACAATGTTAAATGCAAGGGAACCGAAAATTGTAAATGGTCCACAAATTTTGGATAAATATGTTGGAGAAAGCGAGGCTAATATCAGAAGATTGTTCGCTGAAGCAGAAGAAGAAGAAAAGAGGGTAAATAATTAAAAATATATATTATTATTTGGACACAGTATGTATATAAATTGAATTCTCTTTACATGTAACAAGGGAAAACATTTAAGAATAATATTTTTTTAGCTTGGACCAAACAGTGGACTTCACATAATCATATTCGACGAAATAGATGCTATTTGTAAATCTCGAGGTAGTGTTGCTGGAAACACAGGGGTTCATGATACAGTGGTTAATCAGCTTCTTGCAAAAATTGATGGTGTCGAACAATTAAATAACATTCTTGTTATTGGTATGACTAATAGAAGAGATATGATTGATGAGGCTTTGTTAAGACCTGGCAGATTGGAGGTGAAGAATTTATTTAATAAGACAAAAAGTTTTTGTAAGCTGAACGTACACGAATGCAAATATGAATAGAATGTTTTTAGTTCAATTCGCGTTAATTCAATACAGTTTGATATGTCTTCTTAAGATATATCTTTTTATTCGTTATTTAATATTATTTTAAGTGTATTTTTATTTTCCATGCTTAAAGTTGCAAATGGAAATTAGCTTACCAGACGAACATGGACGGTACCAAATTCTTAATATCCACACATCCCGAATGAGAGAATATAAAAAAATAGCGTCTGATGTAGACTTAAAAGAGATGGCCACTTTAACTAAGAATTTTAGTGGTGCAGAATTGGAAGGTTTAGTTAGAGCAGCCCAAAGTACCGCCATGAATCGATTAATTAAAGCTTCCAGTAAGGTGGAAGTAGATCCAGCTGCAATGGAAAAGCTTATGGTATCTCGAAGTGACTTTTTCCATGCATTGGAACATGATGTTAAACCAGTAAGTGATCAAAAATTGAAAATTTTTATTATCTATTGAATAATTATTTTTACAATTGAATTCTGTGAATGTATATTAACTAATTATTCTTATTTATATATTTATTTATATAAAACATAACTAAATTATATTTTCACATCTTTTAGGCATTTGGTACAAGTGCTGAAGCATTGACCCAATTGTTAACTCGTGGAATTATTCACTGGGGAAGGCCAGTGGTTGAAATACTTGCTGATGGCGGTCTATGCATTCAACAAGCTCGGGCGACTGAAGGATCTGGACTTGTTTCTGTTCTTTTGGAGGGACCACCGAACAGTGGAAAGACGGCGCTTGCCGCACAAATTGCAAAGAATTCAGACTTTCCATTTGTTAAAGTGTGTACACCTGAAGACATGGTCGGTTTTATTGAATCGGCAAAATGTCTTTCGATACGAAAGGTATGACTATATAACTTATTTTATATTTCTCTTACATTTATCTATAAATATATATTTGTAATTATATCTGATGTAAAGCTTAAAATAATCACCATTTGTACATTTTAGGTGTTTGATGATGCATATCGTTCGCAACTCAGCTGTATTTTAGTTGATAATATTGAACGTCTTCTGGATTACGGCCCAATTGGACCAAGATATTCTAATCTAACATTACAAGCACTTTTGGTGTTATTAAAGAAATCGCCGCCGCCTGGCCGTAAACTGTTAATTCTATGTACTTCTAGTCGCAGGTAAGATAAAGATTTTTTTCCATGGAAGGAAGTGATTTAAAAATGTATTCTTAATAATATATTTCTTTTTGCAGACAAGTTTTAGATGACTTGGAATTACTTCCAGCATTTAATACTATCCTTCATGTGCCTAATTTGTCAAGCCCTGATCATTTGTTAAGTGTGTTAGACGAAGTTGATCTCTTTTCAAAACATGAAATGGCTTCTTTGCATGCAAAGCTTCAAGGAAAACGGTAAGATATATGGTATATGGGACCTACAATTTAACGCCAGATCTAAACGGCGCTGGTGATCAAAGATCTTCTTAATCACCAGATGTCATTTTTGGCTCCTTAAACGCAAAAAATCACATATGGGGACGCAGGTGGGATTGAATCCGATCTACAGATCGCGAGTCAATCGCACTGAGTGGAAAGCCACTCGACATCTAATATATGTATACTTTATTATGATATATTTTATCACTGCATTTTATGATTTCAGAGTATTCATCGGTATTAAGAAATTGCTTTGCCTAATAGATATGGCGCGTCAAGTGGAACCAAGTTACAGAGTCGCAAAATTCTTATCGAAACTAGAAGAAGAAGGCGGTCTAGAGTAAGATGTATTCCATTTCGAACTGCGTTACTTTTGGTAGTATAGAAAAAGAAAAGGCAAATGTTTTTGAGAGTAAAGTCGTTTCAAATTTAAATCATTTAAGTTGAATCGACTTTTATCATCCCAAAACGAATGCATTTTCAAATTGTAGTAATTTAAATGTAGAAATTTATAGCTTCTGTGTATAAGTGATATAGATATAATCAGTGATATCTAGATCTTCTCTGTATTACAATGAGTTCCCATATAACAAGTAGATAATAGATACCAGCTTGTATTGTGATCAGCATATCTAAAAACACGTAATTAACTCTGTATTTTGAAGTACAAGTACATTATTGCAAATATTTAAACAAGCGTTATCAGTTTTATAAATCGCAGAAATGAATATCATATTTTCGTATGATATTTTCATATATAAGTATTTTTTTATGATTCAATTTGATTTAGCTCTGATTAACTCTAGCAAACTTATTCATTTTATAGACTTTTAACAGCGTGATAGATTTATTTGTTAGGCCTGTATTTGAAATAATTTGCGACTTGAACAGATATTTAATTGTTGCATAATAATGTACAATTATTGTATAGTTACTAAACGGAAACATATATATGTAAAAAAAATGGAAATATTTAAAATGACACGTACAATACCTAATTTTATTGTAAGGATTGTCGGTTACATTATACTGAGTGTATTTCTCTCTTTCTTATATGACTTATGTATCTTTAATACGCGATTAAATCGGTGAAATATTTATATTAAAAAAATTGTACAAGCAGTACTTATTTAGCTTTAGCTGCTTAATAACAGATGATTGCCAATGTCGTTTATTGTTATTTAAAAATTTGAAGATAATTCTTCATCTTTCTAAGTTATAATTGTAATTATAACTTAGATGGAAGAAGAACATTTCTATAAATAGCTTTAGCACAAAATTGCAATAAAAGCAAGTGAATAAAGAGTGCGAACAAAGCTGGACGTGTTTCTATGGTTGTACATTACGTGATACATATTTATTCCAGCACAGATATTTTTAAAGAACAATATCTTGAATGTGTACACAAATTTGTGATTCTAGAACAGTGCTTCCTATTTGTGACAAATTTGCTACTTTATTGGAGAGAGAAATATAATATAGGAGAGTATGTCTATTTAAACAATAGTTCAGTAATGTCATAGTTATTAGCAGATTAAATAGCATATTAAGCAAATAAGATAATTGATAAAGTATTTTCCACGCTAGATCAAACACTCTATATTATTTTAATATACGATTAAATCAATATAATTTAAATAATTTCTCCATCATGTTACTGCATCATAAGAAAAAGTAATGTATTTGCTTAATTAATCAAATTTTTATTATGCGTGTGTAATAAAAAAAAATTGATTCAAATAATATTAGGAAGTAAAATAAGAAGAAAAAGAATATTCTAAATACGAATATTTTTTTTCATTGTGAAAGATATCATAAGAAAGTAAAATTTATAAAAAGAGGAAACCTGGAGTGTTAACAATCTTCTTGTACATGCTAAAAGATTTATATTAAAAAACGTTAGGAAACACTGTTCTAGTTTATAATTGAGAAAGCATTATTTATAAGGACATGACAGATTGACACTTATCCGTAAGATGATGAGTAGACCTTGCGGTATTCTACTTTTAATTATTGAATAGCAATAAACATAGCTATATACAAAGAGTACTTGTTATATTCTCGTATGCCGTGTATTTATTGTTGAGTGCATCTGCGAGTGCACATGTATATTATATGCAATGGATAATGTGCACATGTTGATTCGATGTTTGTCACTGCAATTTGGAGAGAAAAAAATGATAATAGAATAGTCAAGGACAGCGGAATATTAGTCAATATCTGTGTCAATAATTCTACTATCTTCAGGGCGTATCAGTATAAAGAGAAGGAACATTCCAATTGTCTCGAGACATATTTATTCTGTTACGAGTGATCTCAACGAACAATAATGGCAAGAACACGTTACACACATATGTACTTTTTTTTAGTTCGAATTAAGAATTAATAGATCAATGATTATGTAATGTGTGTTCACGAAAATTTTCCAAAAGTCACTTGACTTTGTGTCAGGAATATAGCCCTCCATCATTTACCCTAAAAGAATTAGGTAGATCTTGTAAGAATGAGACGTCGATTTAAAGTTAATAATTTTGACTACAAGTAGTGCAACTTTTAAAGTTCTTATACCAAATATGATCACAAATACACATGCACAGATACATACGACTTTTTTCGCGTTCATTGAATTTTTTACTGAAATTAAAAATGAATTGCGTTAATGTTTTTTTAAATTTTTTTGCAATTGATCAATATAACTAAGAAATTATTTCAAAAATATTTTCCTTTATTGCACATCTGCATGATTTATTGATGAAATTTTTCGTCTTGTTCGTATGACTGGCAAACTGCTTTTCAAAGAATTGTGATGTAAAAAATAAATTTTCGATGACATATTAACGCCGATAATATATTCTTAAAAGCGGTTATCACTAATATACAGTACTCTGTTAAAAAAAAAGAAATTTGCTTCCATTACATGTAAGCAGATAGGATTAAAAATATTTAATGTTGAGTAACTTAAATTTAACGTTTACTTATATTAAATTTCATGCATCTATATAAAATTTAATAAAAAATGTACTGAATTTCGTAAAATTTTATGAAAAGTACACTAAATTTCATGTACTTAAATATACTTTTCAGTTGCAGATACATTAAATTTAATTAGTATCATAAAATTGAATTTATAATTTGTGTAACTTAAAAGTACATTAAATTTTCAACTATGTTTTCCGAAAAAATTTGAAATCACAATCTTCACGCAATCCCATGTAATGAGCTCGTTTGTTGCAATATAAAATTCAAATTTGACACGTTAAGTCAGTACAGTATTTATACGTGAAATAAGGTGCGTGTACGTACAGATTTATAGTCATAATTTGATCTCCGAACTTTAAAAATCGCGCTACTTGTACCCCTCAAAATTCACAGGCTTAAATCAATACCGTATTTTTATAAAATCTAACTTCGTCAATTGCTTTGAGGAAATAATAGAGGGTCGTGTTCTCAACATAATTAAATCCATATGGGAAATTTTAAAAGTTGAAGTCGGGCACACAGTAAATTTGTTATTAGAATATAATAAGTTATTTCAATTGCAAATTATTAACAAATACTAATATAAGTTTATTTATTTTTTTATACAATTGCGTTAATTATATCTGTTATGGCTTGAGGAATTCGTCAAGCTAATTATATGCATTATATGTGTATAAGAAACGAATTATAGACGTCATACATATTGCAGGCGTATATTATGAAGAAATTTCGCTTGTGCAGTATTTCTTGTAATATAATCAACTATTTGTCTCTGTATTAATCAATGTGATCTGCTATCGATGCAAGACAGAAATAAAATATTATACCCACAAATATAGAAAGTCTTCAATAACGTCTCGTCGTATAAAAGAATCAAGTGAATAAAGTTAATACACATTTATTTTCACAATAAAATATTCTTGAATATGAAAATGGAAGGTCAGGCATAATAAGTCTGACACACTGCAATTATGTGTGTATATATACATATATGATTATTTCATACGATTTATTTCATATCTAATTTGACAAGAGTTATAAGAACGATTTTCTGTTTATTTATCGTAATTTATTCTTACTGTGTTAAATTTTATAATATATGGACAAATATAGTAATATCAATAAAAATTAGTGTTATCAGCAAACAGAAAGCTAAACTACATAACATAATTATAGGATACATATACATATGTATATCTTAACTAATATAATGTGCGCAGTAATTTCATGCTCAATATATATTTTATTTTATATAATATATATATATATGTATATACTATATATAATATATATAATAAAATAAATCCAAAATAAATATAATTCATTTTGTAGTTCATATATA